CTCACCTTCCCTCACTTCCCCTCCACTGTAAAAGCTTTTTCTTGTCTGTTTTATGTGTATCTATGTTACTTTCAAAACTGTCCTGCTTGTCTGTGCTTCCTTCTGATCTCTTCTGGACATTTTATTTTTTACTTTTTTCTTAATTAATTAATTTATTTTTAGTTTTCAACATTCACTTCCATAAGATTTTGAGTTCCAAATTTTGCCCCCATCTCTCCTTTCTCCATACCCCAAGGCGGCATGTAAATTGATATAGGCTCAACATACACATTCATATTAAACCTATTTTCACATTAGTTATGTTGCAAAGAAGACTTAGAACCAATGGAAGAAACCACAAGAAAGAAGAAACAAACCAAAGAGAGAGAGAGAGAGAGAGAGAGAGAGAGAGCAAACAGTATGCTTCGATCTGCATTCAGACTCCATAGTTCTTTTTCTGGATGTGGATAGCATTTTCCATCATGAGTCTTTTGGAGTTGTCTTAGATCTTTGCATTGCTAAGAGGACATAAGTCTGTCAAAGTCAGTCATCACACAAAGTGGCTGTTATTATGTACAATGTTCTCCTGGTTCTGCTCACTTCACTCAGCATCAGTTCATATAAGTCTTTCCAGGTTTTTCTGAAGTCTGCCTGCTCATTATTTCTTATAGCACAATAGTATTCCATTACATATTCATATACCACAACTTATTCAGCCATTCCCCAAATGATGGGTACCCCTTCAATTTCCAATTTATTGCCACCACAAAAAGAGCTATTATAGGGGGCAGCTAGGTGGCGCAGTGGATAGAGCACCAGCCCTGAAGTCAGGAGGACCTGAGTTCAGATCCGGCCTCAGACCAAACACTTGACATTTACTAGCTGTGTGACCCTGGGCAAGAAGTCACTTAACCCCAATTGCCTCAAAAAGGAAAAAAAAAAGAGATTAAAAAGAGCTATTATAAATATTTTTGTACATGTGGGTTCTTCTGGACATTTTAAAGATGAGTTACAGTAGCGGTCATTTTTTGATATCTCTGTTGCTAATGCCCCTTTCCCATCTCTACCCTCCCACTAAAAACCTAGGGAAAGAAAGAGAAAACTAAAACCCTTGTACCAGCAAAAAAGTATGTCTTGTGTCCAACATCTGTCAGGAGATTCACGTGGGAGTGCTTGATTTTGGTTATAGTATTCCTGAAACTTTTCCAAATGAAAAAAAAAGTTTTTATTAACTCTTTTTTTGTCTTTATACCACAGTTTCATCTCCAAATTGAAACCACATAACAAAGGAAAACAATTCTGCCAAAAGCAGTGACTTAGGTCCACAGTTCTGTATTTGCATATATTCCACCCCCCCACCCCCCAGTCTCTGCTTCTTTGTTGGAGGGAGGCACTCTGTTTCTCTGTCTTTACTGAGGCAGGTTTTAAGCCAATCTGCTCTGTACTGATTGTGCATGAGCTTTTTCCTCCTTCAATTTAAAAGAAGTTTTAGAACAAAAGAATCATTTAGTTACATTTGTTGCATAAGACAATTAAGGACCAACAAGCCAAGATAGCACTGGTTGACTTAGGCAATTCGGTTGTTCTTTCCACACTTTAGCCTTTTGTCATTATGTCTGGCATCCCAAGATGTCAGAACCAGCACTCATTGAGGGAGATCAGTATTAAAGGTTAAGACATTAGAACTGAAATTGAGAATGCCGGGAGTTCTTAGAACAATAGAAATCTACTGAGTGTAATTCCAAACTTGGGAATCCCTAGGACCATGGAATGAGTCGGTGGTATACTCCCCAAGTTTGTAGAATATTGAGTGTTCTATGCTTATCAGCTGAGGAACCTCAATGATCTCTTAGAGATGAGGGCAGGGAATGTTGGGGAGGGGAATCAGTTGTCTGGGCAAGGAAAGAAGCATTGAAGAGGAAATGTGAGCTTGTCCAGAGTCCCAGAAGAGAATTTCTTGGCCGTGTCCCAGGGCTTCATCCATGACCTCTTTGTGGATGACTCCCAGATCTCCATGTTCTCCTCTGATCTCCTGGCCAGCATCTCCAACTGCCTTCTCAATGTCTCTGCCTGAGATATTCCACCAACACCTCAAACTGAACATATTCAAAATGGAACCTCTCATCATCTCCCAAACCTCCTTCCATTCTGGATCTTCCCTGGTTCTCTTAATGGAACCCCATCCTTCCAGCCATCCAGAAAGATTCCTCAGAGTCATCTTTGAATTTTTTCTCTTCCTTTGCTCACCAATGCTGGTCAGGGCCTAAGTTGCCAAGTAAATTCTACATCAGGAACAGCATCTCACTGCACCCCATCCCACCCCTTTCAGGCCTTCATTCCCTTTTTCTAGGATAATTGCTTGAAATAGGCTACTTTAGGTTTCCTTGCTGCTAGTATCTCCCATTCCCAGTTCAGTCTTCACCTCAAAGCCAAAGTCATCTTCCTAATACATATATCTAATTATTTCCTTTGATCGAAAATCTTCGATGTGTCCCCCATTGCCTATTTAAATTCTTTAAATTTAATTTTTAACAAAAATCTCTTCCTATCTCTCTCCATTTCTCTATCCTTTCTCCCAATTGGGGGGGGGGAGGAAGAAAAACAAATCTCTTGTAATGAATATGCATAGTTAATTAAAACACATTTCCACGTCTAGGGTCTCATTCTGTACCCTGAGACATCACCTCTTTGTCAGAAAGTAGATATGCTTCATACCATTTGCCCTTTTTTTCCCTTCTGTTCTGTTTTGTTTCTTCTTTCTTGTGGTTCCTCCTATTCTAATTCTTCTTTACAACATGACTAATGTGAAAATATGTTTAATAGGAATGTATATGTAGAGCCTATATCAGATTGCATGCCGTCTTGGGGAGGGAGGCAAGGAGGGAGGGGGAGAAAAATTTAAAACTCAAAAGCTTATGGAAGTGAATGTTGAAAATTAAAAATAAATTAATTAAAAAAAGGAAATAGATATGTTTCATTGTTGGTCCTTTGGAATCATGACTAGTAGTCATATTGATTGGAGTTCTTAGAGGGCAGCTAGGTGGTGCCATAGTGCATAGAGTGCTGGGCCTGGAGTCAGGAAGACTCATCTTCTTGAGCTCAAATCCAGCCTCAGATACTCACTTGTCCCTGTTTGCCTCGGTTTCTTCATCTGTCAAACGAGCTGGAGAAGGAAATGGCAAAGCACTCCAGTATCTTTGCCAAGAAAACCCCAAATGGGGTCACAAAGAGACAGACGTGACTAATGGACTGAACAACCACAGAGTCCTTTGAACTTTCAAAGATGTGTGTCATTAAGATGTTATCATACACATTATTGTCCTGCTTCTGCTTACTTCTCTCAACCCTCAGTTCATACAAGTTCACAAAATGCTGAGTTCATGCAGATGGTACTGTGGCCCAGTTTGCATTCACACACTAGCCTTTGTTCTCCCCCATTTCGTCTTCAAGGGCCTTTCCGGTGTGATTTCTAACTGCCTTTACCACCTTGTTTCACATTCTTATTCTTCTTATACTCTTACGTTCCAGTGAAACTGGGCTAATAGCTATTTCCTGATCTTGTTGCTTCTGTGATGGAGTCTTCCAAAGCAGAAAGACCTTTTCCCCAAGCTCTGCCTTTAGGAATCAGCTCTTGGACCCAGATAATGAAGAGATTTGAGTCCCTGTCATGTGATGATGGGGACATTTAGCTTAGAGAAGAGACGACGAGGGGGCACTTGCTAGCCGGGTTCGGATATTTGAAGGGCTGGTGTGTGAAAGAGGAATTAGAATTAAAAGCCCAAGTCAGATGTCATTACCTCAGGCAGCCTCCCAGCCAGAAGTGACTCCTCTCCCAGAATCTCTTCTGTGCACAAATCACATCTAGCCATTTATTCACATTTTTGTTTGTTTATTTATTATTTTTAGTTCTAATATTTATTTATTTGCAAATTACAGACTGAGACGGGTAGGTACTGGTAGATACCTCAGGGATCATCTAATTCATCCAGACAACCAACCACCCGTCTCTTAGCAGCATCTCTGGCAACCACCAGCATTTTTATTGTATTTTTCCTTTCATTTCTGCTTTTTCATTTATATTCTTTCATTTCCTGGAAGAGAATTTATTGGACTCTCACGTCATGTCAGTCAGTAAATATTTATTAGGCACCACCTCTGTGCTAAGCACTGAGGATACAAAAAAAGATAAAAGATGGTCCCAATCTCAAGGAGATCACAGAATAACATGCAGACGACCATATACAAACAAGCTATTTACAGGACAAATCGGAAATAAGCAACAGAGGGAAGACGTTAGAATTAAGAGGAATCAGGAAAGGCATCTTGTAGAAGGTAATAGGGAGCTTTAGTGAGTTGGGGGCTGGCATGGTTGGATCTATCCTGTAGGAAGATCACTTTGACAGCTGACTAGAGGATGGATTGGAATGGGAGAGATGTGGCAAGTGTTCCAACCATCAGGCATGAGGTGATGAGGGGACTGCACTAGGGTGATGTCAGTGTCAGAAGAGAGAAGGAGGAGTATTCAAGAACTGTTGCGAACTTAAAATCTATGGGCCTTGTCTGTAGATTGGATATTGGAGGGAGGGGCGAGAAAGGGGGAAATTGAGGATGACATCTAGTTTGCAAGACTGGGTGACTGGGAGGATAGTGGTGCTCTAAATGTGGGCAGCTTGGTGGTACAGTGGATAGAGCACTGGTCTTGGAAGACTTGAGTTCAAATCTGATCTCAGACATGTACTAGCCATGTGACTCTGGGTAAGTCATTTAACCATGCCTGCCTCAGTGTCCTTATCTATAAAATGAGATGGAGAAGGAAATGGCAAACCACTACAGTATCTTTGCCAAGAAAACCCCAAATACCGTCATGAAGAGTCAGACACGACTGAAAAAATGACTCAACAACACAAGAAATTTTTGGGAAAACATTTTATAATGGGCATCTTGAAGAGTAGCATAACTGTCTTGTCCAGAAAATGTTCTGATTTAATGTCTTGTCTTTTATTTTTTTCCCCCCATTCTAGCGGTTATGATACTCTCTCTTCACAAGATAGAGGTATGGTCATTTTAAATCCATATGTATTTATTTGAAAGCTGAGACTGTACTGCATCAATAACCATTTTCTTCTCGTAGGAGATTTCCTATTTCTTGGACAAAGACAATGTTTTGTCAGACTAAGCACATTTGAAGTGTCATATAAAATACAGCCCCCAACAAAAATGTGCTTTGTGGTTACTTGAAAATTAGAAATGAATTGTCTTTGATCAGTTTTTTTTTTACAGATAATAAGAAATACAAGTCAACCAAGGCTCTCTAAAGAAGTTGGAAAAGAAACCCAATGACAAATCAAAGGGAATTTTTTAAAAGGCTGCAATAAAAATGGTGGCAGAATTGGAAAAAAAAATCAGTATGTAAAAGTTAAAATAATAGAGAGATAACATCAAGAACTGTTTGTTTTGATACTAATTAAATTGCTACCTGGTCAATAAAACCCTAGAACCAATGTGACCACAAAGATAAATGAAAGAGGAGAGATCCCAGTATGGGATAAAGATTGCTGAGTCTGAAGAGAGAGAAACTGGGTTTGGATTCTGGCTCTACCACTTAGTAACTATGTGATGACCTTGGGCAAGTCACATCTCTTGACTTTAGTTTTCTCATCTATAAAATAATAATAATAATTATAACTAGCATTTGCATAGTGCTTGAAGGTTCACAAAGTGCTTTACAAATGTCATTTTACCCTCATGACAATCCTAGGAAGTAGGTGTTTTTATTAACCCCATTTTACACATGAGGAAACTGAGGCAAACAGCATTTAAGTTACTTGCCCAGGATCAGTTTCTGAGGCTGGAATTGAACTCAGGTCTTCTGGACTCCAAGAGTAAAATGTAAAATGAAGAAGTTTTACCAGGTGACCTTTTAGGAGCCCTTTCATATTGAAACTGTTGATCCTGATTAAAAAAATAGCATATACATCTTGTATCAGGGATATGCTGGTAAAAATTTAACAACTGGCCCTGGGGTAAAAAAGTTATATACAACATAGTTTTAAGTTTCTACATTGTTAACATTTTTGTCATCACTTTCTTGAAGTCTAGAGACAATCAACAACAAATCAAGCCCTGATTTGTAGCATTTGTCAATTGCCAAGGTGGAAATGCTCACACTGAAAATTTAACAATTGGTTCTTGCAAACCTCCAAGAACTACTTGTAGAACATGACCACTTTGTGCTCCTCAATAAAATAAAATTAAATTAAAGTGAGAACTCATTTTTTTTTGAAGGAAGTATAATATGGAACAGCTGGAAGAATTACATTTTTCTTGGAGTTCAGTGTGGTCGAACAGTAGAAGAGATCTATAACTCATGAGCCAATGATCTTATTAATTAGAATATATCCTGAGCATGTAATTGACAATTTAAAAAAATAACCATACAAATTTTTCAGATTTCTTTGTAAAAAGGGAAAAATAGTTACAAACTTAATATTCAAAGGATGGGGGAATAACAAACAAATTGTTATTGAACAGTTTTGTGGGATATGATATGCCTACCTTGTTCAAAGTGAGAAATGTGTGAGAACTACCAGGAAATATGGAAAAACAAATGAAATGATGATGAAACAATGCATAGTAATGAAAGAACCAGAAGAGCGGCGGGAATAAACTGATTTTCTATATTAAAAAACAACCAAGCATATGTATGTATTCATATGTATATTTTCATACATACAAATGTAAAAGGACAGAGAATCAGGGGAAAAACATGTAATGAACATGTTGTTGATGTTTGTTAAGGTATATTTTTATTCGAACTCATTCAGGTCACTGAGTTCCTTGGAGATTTTTCACTGTTATTGAAATGGTCACTTTTTTTTTTTTTTTTTGCTTTTTGGTGAGGCAATCAGGGTCAAGTGACTTGCCCAGGGTCACACAGCTGGTAAGTGTCAAGTGTCTAAGGCTAGATTTGAACTCGGGGTCTCCTGACTCCAAGTCTGGAGCCCTATCCAGTGCACCACCTTGCTACCCCAGAAATGGTCACCTTCATAATAATCTTTTTTTTTTTTTCCAAACAAACAAAGGTATCCATTGCTTCTCCTCTTTGAGTCAATGTATGAAGGATAAACTCCTTGTCAGATCAGAAGTGTTTCCCTCCACATACGGGCCCCACCTTATTTACCCAACCTCATCTTGTTATACTCTCTAGCTGGGGAACAATAACCGTTTGGCTAGGTTCATTTTCCAGAGGAGGAAACTGAGGCTCAGAAAGACTGAAAGTTCACTACTAGCACATACCTAGTCAATCAAGGTAAAAGAGAAAAGCATTTGCATGATCATGTGGTTCAATTGGCTGTTGGCCCTGGGCAGTGTCAGAGTATTGGTATAGGAGCTTTCTATTCAGCTATCTCAGTTATATATAGGTCTAAAAGCAAATGTTCCACTGTCCTCTTTGTTACTTCCTCATTAACAATGAATGTGAGCTGCACTCTGGTTGCACAAAGCAAACAGTACAATTTCCTATGTTTAAAGTAGAGTCTGATGACTAAGAGGCCAAGTCAAACATTGCCCCACCCTGGTAGGTGGTTAGTTTGTGGTTTTTTTTAATATGATAATCCTTAAGACCTACTCTGTCTAAAATAATTTCCCTGCTGGAATGTAGGCCAAATATATCTTAAAGGCATTGGTTTGATACTCAAACTTTGTTAATATTGAAGGTTTGAGATTGGCATCAGATCAAAATCAGTGTTTGGATTATGAAGGTGACCTCGTTAGCATATACGTGGTTGTGGCTTGTGGGATTAAAATGACAAAATTTGTAGGTTTATGTACCGTTTACTCATTTTTGTTTTTATTCTTGTATTTTGAATCTTCTTTCTTTCCCAAATTTAGATAGTATATTAGAGAGTCCCGATTCTTCTCAGGATACTTCTGCAGGCACCCAATCAGGTATGGAGGAGACTTTGATGATTTCATATCAGGGCTTGCTGGAATGCAGGTCAGATTGCATGAGTTCCGTGTTGGGCAGAATTAACCTGATTGGCCATGGAGGTTGGCCATGTTGCCTGGTTACAGTTTTATTCTATACTGTGTAGACACAGTCAACATGTGACTATTGAAAAAAAAAAAAGCTACATCTTATTACCTGTAGAATGTTTTTGTAGTTAAATTCCTAAATCATAAATTCTTTATTGTGGGCTTGGCTTCCACACCATCATGCAGGGTTCACTTTGGAGGCTGTGTCCTGCTTTGCCCCCTTGTTCCTGCCCTCCCTTCCCAATTACTTTGTATTTCATTGTTCTGTGTTCTTCATGTTTTCTTCTGTGCAAATGTTGTATCTCTGCCATGAAACAGAAGTTTCGTTAGGGTGGGACCTCTCCATTTTTGTCTCATTGTTTCTTATTGCCTAGTACAGTGCCCATAGCAGGTATTCAATTGAATCCAGTTTCCTAAATTGAATTGCATTATGTGTTGTCCAAGCTTTCAGAAACGTATTTGCGAGATAGCCCTTTATTCCTGACTGACCTTTTTCTCCCCAGGAAGTAGTAGGCTCACACTTGAGACTGATGGAGGGACCCCAAAGCTTTTCTCAGATATAATTGGGCTTAATGCTGGAATGCTGCTTTGCAAATAGCCTGAGCAATTATGCCTGGCAAGTCATGATTTAGCATAGCCAAGGCAAAAGATGGCACTGTAATTTCTCTTGTTGGCCTGTTGTATTGAGGCAGCATGACCCTAGTGGAGAGAGTACTGGATTTGTTTTTAGGAAGATTTGGGTTCAGATACTGCCCATGCTTATAGTGGCAGTCATGCCACTGGCTGGGTGGTCCTGGGCAAATCTCTTAACATATCTGTTGCCTTGGGCAGCTTTCTAGGACTTTCCTAATCAGTTATTGATGGCTCATAATCTGCCCATTATTTCCTGGTTGAGGAAATCCCCAATCTTCCTTGGTGTGTCCCATTCCAATTACATGTGAGAGGGAGGTTGGGATTGAGGTAGCCAAATGTCTTTGTAGGCTGATGCAGTGATACTGATTTTGGAGGTGGCACATTTGCTGTTTTACCCTCGAAGTGATGTTCCACGATTGTTTGTTGTTTCAGATGGACATTTCATAGTGCCTTGTCCAAGCTCCTACTGAAAAAAGAGCTAACAGGTACTACTGAAGTAGTGAACCGACGCCATCCTGCCTTATACAAGACAGGCTCAAAGGGCATCCCGTGAATTTAAGTTGGTCTAAGTGAAGGGTGTTATGAAAGGGGAAAAAAGATCAAGCTGAATGAAAATTTTCATAGCCGTGTTATTTGTAATGGCAAAGAAACTGGAAACAATGCACATGCCCAGTGATTGGGAAGAGTGATTTAAACATAATGCAATGTTTTTGCACCCTAACATGACAAAGATGAGAAGGTTGCTGAATTTGGAGTCTGAATGACTGAGTTCTTACTCCTGGCTCTGACAATTACTACTTGTGTAATTTCAGGAAAAACCATTTCGCCTCTTTGGGCCTCAGTTTTCTTATCTGTAAAATGGGAAGATTAAACCAGCTAATCCCTAAATGTCCTAAATCTTATGATCCTCAGTAATGCTGATTAGAGAGGACAGAATCAGAAATGCAATATATCCAGCGAATTTGAGCCTGGGATTGAGCCTGGGACTTAGGGAACATCCTTTGGCCAATAGAAATTCGACCTTTTCTGTAGTACTTCTAGAGAGTCATCTGGATTAGAGGCTGTATCTGGCCCATTACTGTAGGACAAGCCAGATTCTGGCCAGTCCCTTTGGTAGTTTAGGTTTGATATTAAGATAAAATGCAAAATTTGTAAGAAAAAAAAAAGAAAAAAGATCTGACAGCAAAAGGGGATTTAATTAGCCATAGTAGGGGGGAGGATATTTAGAGAGGAGACTGTTTTGATTCAGCTCAGCGCTGCTTCCCATCTCTTTGTTGTCAGTCAGCTGAAAGCCCAGTATCCGAAGGATGTATTCCTTGTGATATCTTGAGCATGGCTTCAGAAGCTTTAGAGGAGAAGAACCAGTCCAGCCCACAGGGCAGGGGCTTCCTCCTCCCAATCCCAGGATCTCTCTGCCAGTATGTGTCAAGGGTGGTCTTTGAGCCCAGGTCTCCCTGCCCCTTTAGTCAGTTCTCTCTCCATTGCACTCTAACAGCGAAACAAAATCCTCAAGGAAAAGTTATGCAGATGAGCAAGAGCTTGGAAAGGTATGTGAACGTGTTATTCAAATTATAGTGACATTGAATAATGACATCAAAGAGGAAGCGTGGCCATCTGCTTTGCCGCTGCCGCTTCCTATGGACCATGGGACTTTTCCATCTGATTTGCAGCTGAAACCTTTCATAGGGTTTTTTGTTTGTTTTTTCTTGGATAATCAAGGTTAAGTGACTTGTGTTATGTAGCTAGACTGAGGTCAGATTTGAACTCAGGTCCTCCTGACTTCAGGGCCGGTTCTGTATTCACTGCTCCACCTAGCTGACCCCTATAGGCTTTTTTTTTTATTAGAATGGAAGCTGCTCAAAAGCAGGGAGTATTTTTACTTTTGTAGTATTCTATTCCCAGCACTTAACACAGTGCTTTGTACACAGTAAATGTTTAATATATGCTTTATTCATTTATTCAAAATTAGCATGCTCATTTTCTTAACAAATTTCAAATAACTTGTGAGTTTATGATCTTATTAAGGGTCTTTTTTGTTCATTTGAATGCTTTTATTGATGGTTACTAAGTTTAGAATAAAACTTATTAAATATGAAAAAAGACTTTTTAGTATTAAGAGCTAGGATTTCATCCTCTTGTCAGTAATTTCACTTAGCTATTGTTAATAATAACAGTAATGATAGTAACAATGACAGCTGACATTTACAGGTGTCAGGTGTCTGGCACTGTGTTAAATACTTTATAATTATTATCTCATTTGATCCTCACAACAACCCTGGGAGAAGGGTGCTATTATTATGATTCCCATTTTACAGATGAAGAAACCGAGGCAGACAGGTTAAATGACTTGGCTGCAGTTACATAGCTAGTAAGTGACTCTGGCTGGATTTGACTCAAGTCTTCTAGACTCCAGGCCCACTGTGCCACCTAGCTGCCAGTGTATGGTGTTAGGAGAGAATGGGTTGGCTGTGTATTGTATCCCTGTTACCTAGCCAGTTTTCTTCCCTTGCCTCTTAGCAGCAGCTGCCTGGTACACAGTTAAACCACCAGGTGGCAGTAATAGCCACCAACCTGATCCTATTCATCGCAATCAGGCCCTGAAAAATTCCTTGTTTGTCATGGCAGGTATTACCAACTCCCAACACCACTAGGAGCTGGCAGGAAGACCCAAGCTCCTGTAGTTCTCAAGAGCTAGCAACCTTTACTTTTTAAGCTCTGCCTCTTTTGAGTAGCCTCTCTTGCCCTGCTATTCTAAAGGGTGTGGTTAGTGTGGATTTATCTATTCAGAATAGCTCCGAGCCGCTTCCAACAGGAAGCCAGGCCATAAATGAGCCCTAGTCATAAGACTGTTCTATAATGACATCTTTAACACAAACAAAAATAGATATGCTTAATTACGTACATGATTTTTAACTCTTTAGTATAGAATCAATCAAAGAAATGTAATGGGGTCTGACCAACACAGCTCCAGCCTCAATGAATAAATCAATAAACATTATTAATTCCCTGCCATATACCAGGTACTGTGCTAAGGGCTGAGGATACCAAAGGAGACAAAAGACAGTGCCTGCCTTCAAGGAGTTTATAATCTAATGGGGAGAATGGGCTTTTGAAAAAGAGAAATCTTTTTCTCCCCTACCACTCAGTTCTCCTCCTCCCCCATTGGGAATTTTTTCATTTTTCAGATGAAGTAAATGAGGCCTGTCCAGGGGATGTGACTTGCTTAAGGTCACACTGGTAGCTAGGGCAAGGCTCTGTTATTTTCAGGAAGCTGACCCCTCTGGCCAGCCTGACTGGGCAGCTTCTCCTCCCAGTTACCTTATTCCCCCAGGCACCAGAAAGGGGCTGAAGACAGTACACAGCTTGGTATCGGAAATCAATGTAATCTGGCTGGAACTAGAAGTTTGAAGGTTAGGGCCTACTGGAGACAGCCAGCTGAATGCAGTGTGCCAGCTTGGGAGGTGGGGTAGGAGTGGGAGGGGAGAGGATGGACTTTATTCTACTCTAAACTTGGACAGGCCTGAACAATAGAAATTATCTTTGTTATTTATCTCAGCTGCATACAAAACAGTAGTAGACTGGAGGCTTCCAGGCTCTCAGCTTCCCCCCACCCCAGTGGAAAAAAAAAATTGGGGCATGATCTTGGACAGGAGATGTTTCCTCCATTTTTGTCTAAAGGGAAAAAAGGAAATCTAGATTCTGTTGGGGACAAGATAAGGTAGCACCATTTCTGCCCAAGCCATTATTTGAAATCTTGACTGAAGAACTAGGCTATCTCTCTCCCCTTGCTGCCAAGAAGTAAGACTTCCTTTTTTATTAGAGCCATTTCTTGTGCTCTTCCGAAGCAGCCTTCCATTGTAATCAAGAAAGAGGGTCAAGCCAAACTATCTGTGTATGACCCATTTGGCATCCGTACTCCTCCACCCCCCTTCTCAACTGAGAGCAGGGAGAAATGTTTTCATCATCTGCCCTCTCGGAACAATGTCTATCATGGCCTTTGGTCAAAGTTCAGTTGCTTTTCGGGGTTGTTTTCAGTTATGTTTTTGTAGTTACTGTGTAGTACTGTGTCTACTGTCTTCCAACTACCTCACTTCCTATGAGCCTTCCCATGTTTTTCAGAATTTTTCAAATTTGTTCTTTATTAACTGCACATTAATATTCTAATACATCTATACATCACAGTTTATTTGCCCAATGTTGTTTCTGGCTTTTGCTACCACAAAATGCACTGCTATGAATATTTTGGTATGTATGGGACCTTTTGATCTCCTTGGGGTATAACAGTTTAGTATGAGTCATCTCTTCTTGCAAGGCGGTATGCTTCTCACTTAAGCGGGAGTTTAACAAACTAACATGACCAAACAGAAAATTAGGCTTTAATTAATTGAACTTTAAGTTGTCTTTAAATATTTTTAAAAATATGTTTGTTTTTTATTATTTGTTTAATACATGTTATGTGATTTTAATTTAGGAGAAGATCCTTCTGATAGTGGTTCTGAAACAGAGTCTGGTGAGTTTCAAATTATACTTATGGGAAAAAAACCATCAACAATAAATTATTCTTAATTAGTTAAATGACTTAAATGACGATAGATCTTTAGAGACCCAGGGATCCTTGGTTATCTGCCTCTCGTAGGTGGTTGTGCCTGTCACTTAATTCTTAAAAGTCTGTTGGGCGCCATTCTTTTCTGATTATTCAAAATAAGTGGACATGCCATCTTTTTTTAAACCAAAGTCATGCCCAGGGGGCTCTAACAATCAGGAGATTATGGTCCCGGGCACTTTGATAGGTGGGAAGGACCTTAGTGTAGGGAAGTCCCTCCAGGGGCTCCCAAGGCAGATAGGTTTGTAATTGGCAAATGAAAGTGGCAAAACAGGATGATGTGATGAAGAATGATAGGAAGTGGTTGCTATGGAAACAGGTAAACCTCTGTTTTTATTGGCCTGTGTTTACAGCAGCCCCTGTTTGAGTTCATGCTTGGTGTCATTCTGAAACTAATTAGGATGTTTTCCTTTTATAGAGAGTGAAGAGTCACAGCTGGAAATAGGAAAGTCAAGTGAGTGCACTGTCTTTTGCTTTTTATTTTTTTTCACTGTTAAAAATAAGTAGAAACATTGAGAATCTTCAAGCTTAAGGTTTTCTGGTTCACCTTTCATTATACCAGCTTAAACCGACATTTTGAATATTTTTAATAAAGCAAATTACTTTTAAAAATTGGAACTGTTATGTTTGGAGGTACCGTGTCACTCAGTAAACTCCAGCTGTTCCCATTTACCTCTAGAATAAAATAAAAACTCCTCCGTTTGGCATTTAAAGCCACAACCTTTTCAGCTGTATTGTACTTTATCCCCTTCTTGCCCTCCCTAGTCTGTCATATTGACATTCCCTTCTTTCCTCCATGTGTTTGCTTTGGCAGGCTCCCATGCCTGGACTGACCTCCTTCCTTCTGTTCTCTGGCCTCATTTCCTTGGGTCACCTCCGACATGATGCCTTCCTTGACCCCCAGCTGCTAGTACCTCCCCACACCAAATTACCTTCCATTTCTTTTTTTTTTTTTTCAACAAAATTCAGTTAACATTTATTAAGCACCTAGGTGTTAGGAATTTTCTTTTAATGGGAAAAAAGTCAAACCTTGTCCCAAGGAGGTTATATTCTGCTAGGATCTGAAATGTACACACAGATGAATAGAGGATAAGGTAAAATGTGGTAAGGACAAGGAAAGACGGAGAAAAATGCTCTAAGAAATTTTTTTTGTTATTCTTTTTAAATTTTTTTTGTTTTTTAATTAATTGATTTTTATTTTCAATAGTCATTTCCACAAGATTTTGAGTTCCAAATTTTCTCCCCTTGTCTCGCCTCTCCCCACTCCAAGACAGCATGCATTCTGAATACTCCTTCCCCTAATCTGCCCTCCCTTCTATCACCATCCTTTCTGTTTTCCTGTAGGGCACTTACATTTATTTTGTATAGAATTTATATACATTTATTTTGTCTCCCCTGAGAGAGTGGACTCTTCCTTGAGAAGCCTCTTCTTTTTATATTCCCATTGCCTAATACAGCACTTGGCACATAGTAGGTGCTTAATAAATGCTTATTGATTGATTAGAACACATGGATTGTGTTAACAGTACTAGTACTAGCTACTATTAGTAGCAATCTGCTTCCTTAACTGACAGGCAGTGCAGTGTAATGGCTAGAGTAATGGACTCAGAGTTAGGAAGATCTGGTTTCACATCCGCCATATTCACCAGCTCTATGTCCTTGAGTCTCAGTGTCCATAGTTGTAGAAGGATAGTAATCATTATTGCCATAGCCACTTCTTAGCATTTGGGGGATGCCCAAGTAAGATTATGAATGTATAACACCCTGCAAACTTGAAGGTACAGTACAAATTTCAGTAATGGATATAGAGGCAACATTTCAATTTCCTGATTCTATGCAAGTCTTAGTGTATAGAGTCAGGAAGACCTTGCTTCATATCCCACCTGTAATAACACTTAATGGACTTGGGATCCCAGGAAAGCCAGACCTTTCAGTGACTCTAAGACAGTTAGTTACTAACCAGGGGTGGATCTACATAGGAGGAGGGAGTTTCCACACTGAGAGTACCCTAGGTTAGTGAAATCAAAAGGCCAAACAGCACCCTCCAAATCCTCCTAAAATGGGGATAGTGTACCTGCAATGTAAAACCAATCTCCCAGGACTTCCTGGGAAGCTGTCATGAGATGATATTTGTAAAGGTCTTTACCAACTTTAGAGGGCTTTAGAAATGGCAGTTTGTGTCTGAGGCTGGATTTGAACTTGGGTCTTCCTGATTCCAGGCCCAGCAGTCTAGCCCCTGGGCTTCTCAGCTGCCATTTTTACCCAATGTGTTGTGATATTGGCTGCCAGTGGGCCACACGCCCATAGTAAATGCTTGTTAGATTGGGTTGAACTGGATTGAATGTCTTTTGTCATCAGGAATCTAGCCAGGGTTTGGGCCAGTATAGGAAATGCAATGGGAGAAGTTAGAAGCATGGGGCAGGAGAGATTGCTACTCTCAGGAGGCTAGAAAGGACGTTGGTTAGGACTTGTTGCTTCTATTAGGAGTAGTCAGTCAGTCTCCTTGTGGGATGGGCCAAGGCGTGCGAGCAAAGGGGCCAGGCAGAAGGACTGAACAATGTAGCAGTCCCAGGATGGTGCCCTGGGATTGGCAATGCACTTACTGCTTCTGAGGGCCCTTATCTTAGAAAGCACAGACCTACTCACGTGGCTCCATCTCTCTCTGGCATGCTGGTTGTTAAATGGCTCTTGGCCCTTTATGGCAGACAGCCTCTACGGAGCTAGAGAATCAGCCTCCTTCAGAAGCTCATTAAAACACTTTGCCCGTAATAAACACTCAGGAAATAGACACTGAGATGTTTGTTCCCTGTTCTTCTGACCTGAATGAGGACCCCACAGAGATGCTCAGAACTGTTAGGCTGGTTCGCTGGGGGGAGGTACTTGTCTTCAACCTGAGATGTTTCTTCCTGGATGCCCTCTATCGCAGGCCTGAGGCCAGTGTCCTGACCTATCATCCAGGGAGGGGAAGGGAAGGGAAGAAAGATTTTTTTTTTGGTTAGGCAATGGGCTTAAGTGACTTGCCCAGGGTCACACAGCTAGTAAGTGTTATGTATCTGAGGCCGGATTTGAACTCAGGTCCTCCTGAATCCAGGACTGGTGCTCTATCCACTGTACCACCTAGCTGCCTCCGGGAAGAGAGATTTTTAAAGCACCTACTATGTGCCAGTCTTTGTGCTAAGCTCTTTACAAATATTATCGCATTTGATCCTTACAACATCCAAGGGAGGGAGGTGCTATTATTGTTCCCATTTTACAGTTGAGGAAACTGAGGCAAACGGTGACTTGCCTATTAATGTCTGAAGCTAGATTTTAACTCAGGTCTTCCTGACTCCCCGTCTGGTGCTCTACCCACTTCACTACATACCTACCCATAAACACAGTATATAAATTATGCACAAATACAGTAATCCTTAAACAACGTTCTCTCGACTCTACCATCCCCTCAAGCTATCATCCTATATCTCTCCTCGGTTGGAATCCTAGAAAACAGCTGTCCATGTTGGTTGCCACCTCTTCTTGTATTCAATCCTTTGCAAACTGGCTTCTAACCTCTTCTGACCTCATTACTTGACTGAAATGGCCTTCTCCATAGTTACCAGTGATCTCTTATTAACTCTCAAAACTGATGGTCTTTTCTTAAGTCCTTATCTTTCTTAACTGATGTACCAGCACCTGGCCCATAGGAGGGTCTTAATAAATGCTGGTTGGCTTGGACTGAAGGACTGAATTGAATGTCCTCGTTTAGAAGTAGCCGTCATAGTGCAGGGACCCAGAGATCAAGGGAACTGATAGGCAAGGTTCCCAAGAAGTCTGGTTGAAAGCAGAGAACAGTTAAGGTCATGTTAAGGTAAAACAGATGGGCTTCCACCCAACCATTGTTGACTCAATAGCTATTGGGAAGGAGGTAAAGCTGAAGCAAGATAATCCATTCCTTTGCTATAAATGATCTTGGCTTTGACACTGTTTAGCCTAGATAAGCCAGACACCACAACTACAGTCCTGCCCTGCCATTGTGTCTGTCTGTCCCAAGATCCCCTGGGCCTTACTGTCCATCTGACCTCCTCTATGCTGGGGGTCCATGGACAGAGAGTGTCTGTGGATAGATGTCAGAGAATCTGGGGGAAAAAATCCATCTTTATTTGCACATATCTCTAAGGGAAATTGAACTTGCGCTTCCATTATGAATGAAAGCTGAGAAGGGGCCCTTGGGGTCTCTGGACTGCCAAGGACAAGTCAGTGACACAAGTTGAAGAACAACTCCCAGACCTCCCGCCCTGCTAACTCTGCCCAAGCCTCCTGGACCTTGCCATTTGCCCCCTCCTCCTGCCCTGCCACAGAGATCTCTTGTATAGGTCGTCTCTCCCAGTTTAGAGTGAACTTCCAGAAAGCAGAAATGGCCTAATTTGACTAATTAGATCCCTAGCTAGTTTTAGCACAGTGCTTGGCACATGGTAATTAGCACTTAGTAAGTGCTTTCTCATTCATTTTTCATTTGCTCCTAATCTGTACAGCTCCTGTGACCCAGCCCAGGGCTGCTGTGCCTGGTTGGGATTGGCGGTTGTCCTTTATTCTTGAAGAGGACCAAAATGACATCACTATGTTAGAGTCAAGTTACAATGTGTCTGACTGTGGCTGATCAGACCAATACACGCTTGGAATGCTCTGCCGCAGGCCAGACACAAATAGTCCATGTGAACATTTGGGGCGGATTCTCTACATCTGCACATCTCGCATTTCTTTTGAGCTACTTCAATTCTGCTTTGCTCGTAGAGCACAGTACCTTCTCTGATGAGGGCACGATGCCATGCTGGGCCGTCCTGTACCAGTGTCTCCCATGTCACACAATACATTCCAGAGTTCTTAAGAGAGACCCTGAGAGTGTGCTTGTATCGCTTCTTTTGACCACTATGGGGGCGCTTGCCCTCTGTGAGTTCTCCATGAAAGTCTTTTTCAGCATGCATACGTTTGGCCTTCTAACCATGTGGCCAGTCCATCGGAGTTGCGCTCTCTGTGATAGTTTGAATGCTTGGAGTTTAGTTGCCTGGTTTGGATTCACTGGCCTCAGTGATGCATGCTGGGCTCAGGCATCGGGGTTTGACTGCTGGTTTGTTCTCTGCAGGTGAGGAGCAGACTGAGTCTTCTGCTGAAGAATCTTCATTCTCCCAAGGTAAAATAAAGCCCCTGTTCTCTCCCTCTCTGCCCACGAGGGACCTTCTCCTTTAGTAGGCTCTGAGACAGAACTTGTTAGGATGAGAGTGAACAAGGAACCAGACAGAAATAGTAGGGAGGTAGTGTCATTGATGAAAATGGCTTTTGAAATGGGGAAAGGAAATCCTGGGCTGCAGAATGGGTCCCCATCTCACTCAGTCAGTCAACAAGTATGCCAGGCACTGTGCTAAACACTAGGAATACAAAAAAAAACCGAAAGATATTCCCTGCCCTCGAGGAGCCCTCAGGCTAATGGAGGAGACAGCCTGCAAATGACTGTACCAAAAAGACAGGTGCAGGATAAATTGGGGGTAATCTTAGGGAAGGAATGGAGATGAAGAAGACCTGGGAAAGGCTTCCTATAGAAGGTGGGAATTTGGTACTTGAAAGAAGCCAGGGAAGTTGGCAGGCAGAGACAAGGAGGGAAAGCGTTCCAGGGATGGGGGCTGGCCAGTCAGGAGAGGCAGTGTCAGGCTGGAGGAACAGCTGTGAGGCTGGCGTTACGGGATCCAAGCGTCTCCCTAATGAGGGGGTTGTAACCTCTTGAGCCTCAGTTTCCTGATTTGTGAAACGAGGGGATTGGAGTAGATGGTTTTTAGGACGCATTCAGCTCTCAATCTGTTACTCTGATTCTGAAGAAAGGAGGAAAAATCTTCTCAAGGTGAAATATGCCTTTAAAAAAATGGAGCTTATTAAAGAAAACTAACATAAGGGGGCAGAGACTGTGGGGTCAGAAGACCTGGCTTCTAACACTCATATTGCTGTTTGCTAATTGTGTGGCCTCCCACTTCTTTGGGCCTCAGTTTCCCTGTTTGTAAAATGAGAGCTCAGTGAGGTTCCTTCCAGCTCTGCATCTCTGATCCCGATCTCCCCAAATGTGGACCATGTGGCCTGCTTGTCTCTAGATCACAGGGTTATGCTGTGGGGATTCCAAGGAGAATGTATGTGGGAAAGTATGTGATGAGGCAGTGTGGGCAGACAAGAAGCATTTATTAAACACCTACTATGTGCCAGGCATTGGGCTAAGCATAGGGGATACAAATAAGGCAAAAATAGATAGTCCCTGCCCTCAAGGAGGGAGGAGGGTGTGTGACCGCATCCAGAAGGGTGTCGAAAAGCTGGGGGTCACGTACCTTTGAGGGGCTACCCAAGAGTGAGGGTCCAGAAAACCAGACTGAAGGTTGCCTGGCCTCTAGGAAGAACGCATCCCATGCCAGAAGGCGCCAGCGTGGCAGAAGCTATCCCAGGGAACGGAGGCACTGAGGGAAATTCCAGGCTGGGTGGCAGCCAAGGCCTGGGGGCAAGGTCTGGGGAATCATAAGCAGAGCTGGGAGATGGAAGAAGTGAAGGCAGTGTGGGGCAATGGAAGGAACCATTTGCAGTCAGGACCTGGGTTCTAAGGCTGGCTTTGTCCCTTACCTGTGTGACCTTGGACAGTCACTTCATCTCTTGGCCTCAGTTTTCTTTTCTGTAAAATGGGATTGGACTAGACCTTTAAGGTCTCTTTTAGTTCTATAATTTAATGGTTTTAAAAAAAAATTTGTAAGGCATTCGGGGTTAAGTGACTTGTCCAGAGTCACACAGCTAGTAAGTGTCAAGTGTTTGAAGCCGGATTTGAACTCAGGTCCTTCTGACTCCCGGGCCAGTGCTCTATCCACTGCACAACTTAGCCATCCTATAATCTATAGTTTTACAGTGCTTTGTAATCTATAAATTGCTGTAAAATATATAAGATATTATTAAAAAGCAACCATTTTGAAAAGTATACCTTAACTTATGTTCATGGTTGTGATGCAGACGTTTTTTATTTTTTGACCCAGACCTGTGACTTTATTCCTTTAGGGAACTCCAGGTACGGAAACTCCCTTCACCGATGTAGGGCACCTCATAATGCAGCCTTAGGGGATGGCTTGGGTCACTGAAATAACTTGTCCAGGGTCACATAGCTGGCATGTGGTAAGGCTTGAGCCCAGATCTTCCTGGCTTGAGGTTCCACTATGTTGCCTGAGATACAGAATGAAATTCATAAAAATGGTTTTCTATCATTTGAGTGGCTTGGATGCCTCCCTGATGCTGACACCCATGCCTTAGTCTGCTGAGGCCGTTACACTCTGAGTATCAGAGAGTCTACAAAAACCCTTGTTTCACATTTACGCAGGATGTTCCTTTGCAGTGGAAGACCTGATGAAGGAAGCATTCCAGGCTCCTTTCCCATCAGGTACGGCCTTGTCTCGTCTTGACAACGTATTCGTTTCACAGAAGTTGATAACATTCCTAGAAAGTAAGCAAGATTTTCTCTCCGTTTTTTAGAGTTTGGCTGTCCTCGCGCTCCGTGTGAACACTGCGTCACTGAAAATGTAAGTGGACTCAGGATAAAAGGGGCTTTTTTTTTTTTTTTTTTACAAAGAGCCTCAACCAGTTATTGATCCCTGTTTGTGTTTATCTTTTTATCTTTAGAAGCAGAATGAGCAGGTGATGCCCAGGCTGCTTTCCAGGGGACAATTTCTGTAAGTGATCCTGAACATAATAGTAGGGCAGCTTCACCTTAGTTAGGGCTTTTTAATCCCTATCCCAAATCAGAGAGTCTGCGGTAACTCATTTCCAAGTTGTTATGAGGCCTTGCTGTGCTGTTGTGTGTGAAGGCAAATTTTATTTGAGGGTGGGCATTGGGCTGTCCCCTCTCCCTCCTTGTTTCTGCTTTTGGAAATCCAAGCCCACTTTCAAAGGCTGGCCCAAATGCCCCCTTCCTCCTGAAGTCTTCCCTGATCCCTCTGGTCTGAAGCGAGCTTTCCTTCCTGGTAGCCCATAGCCCTTTGGGGCAGCCGTTTCTCTATTCCAATTTATTCACATCCTTTTCTCATTCAAGTCTGGTCCGCTTGCTAATTACTCAACAGATGGATATTTACTTTGTTATTATATGCCTGCTTGTGAGGCGGCATGGTGGTGCAGGAAACAGAGAGCTCGGTGCCTTGGAAGCAGTGCCATCCCTGTTAGAATCTAGGTCCTGCCTGCCTCTGACACATACTGGCTGTGTGACCCTAGACGTGGCCCTGAGCCCCAAGCCTCTCTCTAAGACCAGAAGGGACAGAAGAGCTGCTCATCTGTATCACCCTGGCAGGGCTTGGTTCTTAACTTGGAGTCCGTGGTGTCTGTGTGACTGTGCATGTGTGTGCATATGTGTGCGTGCATGTACATGTATGCATATATATGGGTATGCATGTGTATGTGTATCTGTATGCACATATGCACATGTATTCTCTTTTGTGTATTTGTGTGTGCACATGTCGGTGTGAGTGCGTGTTAATGTGCATGTGTGCACCTGTGTATTTGTATGTGCATATGCACATGTTTTATTGTATTATGTGCATCTGCATGTTTCTAATGGCACACACAGCCCATACATGATCACAGTGTGTATTTGTGCATGTATGTACAGGTTTGCAATGTATGGATGTGCATGTGTCCGTGTCTGTGTGTACACATGCACATATGTTTTGTGCGTATTCGTGTGTGCATGTGCGGGTGTACTTATGCACACGTGCGCACAATTGTGTTGCATACATGTTCTTGTGCACGCGTGTGTATTTGCATGTGCATGTGTGCATAATGTAGGTATGCATGTGCATGTGCACAGTGGTCTACGTGCACATCTACACACATGTGGATGCATGCCTATTGTGTGTATTTATATGTGCATATATATGTGCACACATGTGCATTTATTTTTATTTTTTTATTATTTTTGTTTTTTGGTTTTTTTTGGTAAGGCAGTTGGGGTTAAGTGACTTGCCCAAGGTCACACAGCTAGTATGTGTCAAGTGTTTGGTCTGAGGCTGGATTTGAACTCAGGTCCTCCTGACTTCAGGGCCAGTGCTCTATCCACTGTGCCACCTAGATGCCCCCATACATGTGCATTTAAAAGAACTGTTTCAGTGCAATTGCTTTCCTCTGTGACTCTCTGTTTTTTATTTTCTCTGTCTAGAAATACTATTCTGAGAAGGGGTCCATTGGCCTCGCCATGCTGTCACAAGGGTCCATGAGACAAAGAAAGCTTAAGAACTTCAGAAGTAGAGGGAGTTTCCACGCTGACCACATTTTAGGTCCAGATCCCACTCATTCCCCCCCAATTATCTGTTTCTACTGCTAGACTGTCAGCTCTATGAGGACAGGGACCAAGACTTCATTGTTTCGGTACCTCTCTCAACGGCTAGCATGTGCATTGAACATAATATAGGCACTTTGTCTGTGATTATCTCCTGTTTCTCTTGGTTATAGTCTAGTGGTTTGCTTGTAGTCTTCTCCATTAGACCATGGGCTCCTCAAGGGCAATGTTTTTCTTTGCATCTCCATCACTCAACACATCGTAAGCACTTAATAAATGCTTATTGATTGACTGGCTCACTTTTTGGGGTGTGCAGATCATGATTTCATTGATGTAAAGAGCTCCCAGCGAAGAAACTCCCTTAACCAGTGTATATCAGCCTTGGTTGGATGGAGCGTTGCCTGGAGCTGCTCAGAGGTTGGGCTTCAGGTCACACAGCTCCGTATTTCAGAGGGAGGACTTGAACCCAGGTCTTTCTGACTTTGAGGGTGGCTCTTCTCTACATTGTACTGCCTCCACTAGGCACTTTGAAATGGTTATTACAGAATGGGGGAAGGAGAGAATGAGTTCAAATGAGACCATTCTTTCTCTTAGTGTTTTTGAAATGATGTTTTAAGTCATCATCTCATGAATAATAGGGACACTGTTTTAAACTCAAGTCACTAGTAACCTAAAACGTCTCATGCAGGTTGAAGGTAGACTGTGAAGGAACATACCAGTGTGCCCGGACAGGCCTGATTTTTGAAGTCAACAAGAAGACCGACATCAAGTATTCTGTTTTGTCCTGGAGCAAGTACGCTGACTTGGTGGTTAAGCCCTGGATTGTTGGCGGGCCCTTGTTTGACGTGAAATGTGACCCGGCCATTCTCGTCTCCATCCAGTTTCCACATTCCCTTTGCTTGGGCCGTAAGTGTCCTTCAGCCTCCTCTGCCAGCTTAAAGAGTGCTTGTTTCTGGGGTAGACCAGCAGCCCAGTAATCGTCTCTGTGCACGTCTTTACAGACCATGAATCCTTGATGACGTTCAAAGTGTTCCACATCACAAAGTCTGGTCCCGCTCTCGAATCCACCGTAGATCACTCCAACACCCACGTCAAATGGCACGTGAGCTCCCTTTCTCCAGTGGGGCCGGTCATTCAAACCCAGGAAACTGTGCAACATCACGGGGCAGTGATTCTATACAAAGTTATTGACAGCCATCCATCCCTGTCCTTTCGCGTTTACGTGGCCACGAATAATGACTCCTTCATCAGGGTAAGGCCATTCAGATTTCAGCTCTCCTTGGCATTCATGGGCCTAGTTCAGCTTTTCGATGCTCCTGTAAAGTTCAGCTTTATTGAGTTGGGGCTCCTAAAACCAAACCTCCAGGGGGAAGAGGATGAGGGCCCGAGTACAGAGCCCTTAACTCCTTGGGGAAGCAGAGTTTGTTCATTCAGGTGAATCTCCTTGGAAAAGAATGTGGGCAATTCAGTGGTGGAGGAAAAGACCTTTTTTCCCAAGCCTGGGCCAGTTTCATGAGGTCAGAGTCTGGGCGTGAAAAGGCATTCTGAGCCAAGTGCTCTCTAGGTATAGGTCCAGGGTTGGAGTTTATTGAGATTGAATCAGTGAGGAAGATAGCAAAAAAAAAAAAATGCAAACCCAAACCCGAACTCTTTTACTAGATAAACAGCAACACGGAGTTATCCACACACTGAACAAATACATGGTGCGTCGGTGAGTGGAGCAGGCTGTAGGTCTCTGAAGAACAGAAGCCTGGTCTGCTGCTGCCTGTATCTCCTTTCTAGGTCTCTCTAGCCGTGATAGGAGCTATGCATCCACCATGAATTTCTAACAGTGCCATGCAGTCTAAGCGAGTCACATAAGGCCCGAGAAGAATATTCGGTGCTCACTGCAACAGGCCTATTTCTGACATCACACCAGGTCATCATCTGTACAAAGCGTACCTAAAAAGGCAGATTGAAGCTTTCTGGCCCTAGCCTGGGCCCCAGGTAACAGTTCAGTCTAAGGACCTCTAGGATAGCCCTGAGTCAACTCTCAGAAGGCATTTTCCCAGGAGTTCTTTGAATAGAGATTTTCCTAGGGATAGGCTAAACGTTCTGCACTTACTAGTCTCCTCCTCCTCCTTCTTTTTCTCCTCTTCCTTTCTCCTCCCCCTCTTCTCCCCTCCCTGCTTCTCTTCCATGGCAGTAGCAGGCAGCATATTTTGAAGGGATGCCTGTCATGTGCTACCCTACAAGGCAGGGCTTGGTGTAGAGAACAAACAGGCATTCTGCAGGGTGCTTCCAGGGTGCAGGGTGAAGGGAAACCCACAAGTCAGTGACAGGCTGGGTTTTGTCTATAACTTCAAGCCAAGACAAGGAGAAGCATTGGTTGACCTACATGTGGCCAAATGGTGCGGTGGTACTTGTCATCAGGGAGACCTGAATTCAAATCCACCTCAGATACTTGCATCCTCAGTTTCCTCATCTATAAAATAAGGGTAGTAATCTCACCTGCCTCACAAGGTTGTGGTAAGGATCAAATGAGCTAATGTGTAAAGTGCTTTTAAAACCTTGAAACACTCCACAAATATTGGCTGTTATTATGCTGAGGGAAACTAGTTGGTGCAGTGGATAGAGTACTGGGCTGGGAATCAGGAAGACTCATCTTCCTGAGTTCAAATCCAGCCTCAAACATTTACTAGCTGTGTGACCCTGGGCAAATCACTTAACCTCAGGTTTCTTATCTATAAAATGAACTGGAGAAGGAAATGGCAAAGCACCTCATTATCTTTGCCAAGAAGACCCCAAATAGGGCCACAAAGAGTCAGACACAATTGAAAAATGACTCAACAACAATTATTGTTGTGAAGGGATCCTCTATGGGGCAGGTAGGCTTCTGAGTACAAGCCATTTCTTGTACTCAGAAATTAAACATAGTTTATTAATATTAACTTAAAAAGCAGTCATACTGGGTTCACGAGGTATCAAACAGTGGGTTTGGGGACAGTTTGGTGTATTCCAGGGATGGGAGGCAGACTTTCTAATCGTTTATTATTGGGTCCCAGAGTCTGATACAGGACAGACTGTCTTTTTGCCGTCCTTGAACAAGGACTTGGGCAATAGGAAAACAAACACAAAGCTTAGACGTGAGATTGCCCATCTCACTTCAGTTCACACCGAGTTGGAGGCTTCTTCTAAACTGGCTTATATCAAGAAAGGGAAGATGTGGGCCTTCTTCTCTGTACCACCTCAGCAGGGGGAGTGAGCCCACTATAGAGCTGCCTATTGGGAGCACTGTGGAACAGGGCCTCCTTCCGGACTGGAATTGACTGTTAGCCTTGTTGGTGCTATTCTGGTAGTGGGTACATATATGAGGAGAATGGAAACAGAAAAGATGAGGTACAGCATCCCATAAATGATTCACTGCAGTCAGTATTTATTGAAAGCTGCCTGCGTGGGAATGCACTGTGCCAGGCTCTTACTCAGGTCAGTTCAACAGATTTTGTTTTTTTTCTGTTTTAGTTCTGAATATATTCTTTCCTTTTCTCTCCCTGTTAGGGCCATCCCTTATAATAAAGATTTTAAAAAATAGGAAAAAAAAAAAGACAGTTCAGCAACACCAATCAATAGTTCAGTTTTGGGTGCCTGGAACCTGAGCAGCTCTATAGCAGATTATGTTGTTGTCAATGGCATCATATTTGAGAGAATATGTATCTTACACCCCCAAATTCCTTCGTGAACCCGTATAAAGTGGAGGAGGGAGGGAGGCATGTTTGCTCAGCTCCTTCTCAGGCCTCGGTTCCTTATTCTCATTACAAACATTCAGTGTCATTTGATTTATTCTTTTCATTTACATGATTCTAGTCTCATTGTTTTTTCTGATTCTGCTCACCTCGCTTTGTCTTAGTTCATACAAATCTCCCTATGCTTCTCTGAATTCTTCTTATTGTTTCTTTTTTGAAATAGATTTTTATTCCTATCTTTTGCTTTTGCATCACGTAAGATTTCCCTTGGTTCACAGTGAACCATCGCTTTAAAACAACAACAACAACAACAAAAAAAAGTTAAGAAGAGGGAAAAGCGATTCAGCAAAACTGATCAACACTATTGAAAGAAACCTGGTGGTAGATGCAATGCCTTGTACCCACGGGCCCCCAGGTTCTGCGGAGGAGTCAGGGGAGGCGTGTTCTCTCTGGGGCCAGCGATGTTCTTTATATTTCCCCAACATTCAGTTTCGATGGTTTTGTGATTCCTTTTCTTTCTGTTTACATTGTTGTAGTCATTGTGAATCTCCTTTTCCTGGCTCTGTTGTCACTTTGTATCAGTTCATTTAAGTCTTTCCATGTTTCTTTGTATTCATCACATCTGTCATTTCTTAGAGCACAAGAAGGTCCCATTGCATTCATTCCTCATCCTTGGGGTACCCATTCACCAATCAGTGGCTGTCTACTTTGTTTCCAGTTCTTTGCCTCTGCAGAAAGTGTTGCTAGGAATATCTTGTTATATGTGGGGACTTTGCTTTCTGTTTTTAATCTAGAAGTCTCTGCCTAGCAGTGGGAGCTCTCAGTTGAAAGGGTATGGACATTATATATATATATAAAGCATAATTCTAAATTGTTTGCAAAATGGCGGGCCTATTCTTGGTCCCTACAAGGGCCTTCCTTTCCACAGCTTCTCCAGCATTGACCCTTTCCATCCTTTGTTCTCTTTGCTGGTTCAAAGTGTGAAATGCCAACAGACATTTATTAAATACCCCCTGTGTGCCAGGCCATGAGGCATATACCCTGTCCATCACTTAACCTTGATGCATATGCAGTTTTTGTCTTTTTAACTTCTAAATCACAATGTATTGAAAACCAAATTTCCTTTTTGTGACATCTGAGGCGAGGGCAGGAAATAGTGATTTTACTTAAAAATAAAACAGAACAAAAACCAAAACCAGGTGATTTTAGGCTCCAGATGAGGCTCCACCTTTCTGACCCAGTCAGCAGTTAAAAATAATTTTTAAAATTTGTCAGATTATAAGTTTTTTAAAAAGCCCTACAAAACCATTAAAAGCTCAAGAGTTTGAAGGACATGGGGAATCATATGCATTAATGAAACATCTGAATTATAGAAGTTTTTTCTTAAAATTGTGACTTTGGGCACAGTGTAATTATAAAGGTCATGTTTGTCTATGAAGGAGAGGAACAACTTCTTTCCTTTGCAAAGGGCAGGGGAGATAGGGTGTGGGGCGTTGCATATTCTGACAAACTCTGTACCATCAACTGGTGTTGCGAATCCGTATTTTTACTCTAATATTCTTTATTTTTTTTAATCTAACAGTAATGGTAATAGCTAGTTATTGTGCTTGAAAGTTTGCAAATCACGTCACAAATATCATCTCATTTGATCCTCGCAACAACCCTGGGAGGTTTTTATTTTTTTTACAGTTGAGGAAACTGAGGCAGACATAAGTGAAGTGGGGAAGAGAAGAGGAGGAATATATTTGAAAATGAGGATGATATGAAAACAAAAAGTTAGCAATGACAGTTTTAAAAAGAAAATAAATTAGCACGTGTTTATTAAAAATAGAACCAAAAAAAGGGCATAGTTCTGTTATTTTCACGTGCATATAGTCCTTGGGATTCACCACTCCCAAGTGTTTCTTTGCTGACCAGGTAAGCTGCTTTCTCAGATGAACTCCTCCTGCTTGAGCCTGCCGGGCAGGACTCTCGTGTTTGGTTTTCTTCTGCCTTTCTTGATATCTCTTGGCCTTAGCAGGTGTAGACCCTGGTAAATGCTAGGTCACCCCCCTGACTCATTATAATTAGGCCTAGCCATTAGCATATAAATGGTTAATGTGCTGTAAAACTTTTAAGAACTTTTCTTTCCCTTTTAAATCAGGTTAAGCAAACTCTGCCTTCTTATTTCCATAGTGATTTACTCTGGGAATCTTTCCTCTCTGGTAACATGACTGTATACTGCAAACCTTCCTAGGTGGAATTATCACAAATTCTGAATTTGTGACTTTGGGATTAATAAGGTGTTCCCCTAATTATTAACTAAGAAAAACAAAGGAAATTAGTTTTTAAAAACCAGCCAAAGGAAGCTTTGTTGAAGTTGAGGTAAGGAATAGAGGCCCCATGACGGGTCTGATTTTTTAAAGAAAGAAAATACACTGAGGAAGGAAGTGTCTTTCATCTGTTATTTTTAGGGTGTGTGGGTTTTGCGCCCCTTTCTTCCTAGGGTGACTTTTCCTGTTTGGCAGAGAGAGAAAGATAGCCCTGAGCTCTGCACTCAGGAAACCTGGCCGGGTGCTAGTTCTGGCTCCATAGCTGCCCTGCTGTGACCTTGAATCACTTCCTCACTTGTAGTCTTGGAATAATACTCTCATCCACCCCCCCACCCCCCACCCCAGATGGGCAGCTAGGTGATGCCGTAAATAGAGCACCTGCTCTGGAGTCAGAAAGACCTGAGTTCAGATATGACCTCAGACACTTACTAGCTGTGTGACCCAGGGCAAGTCACTTAACTCTGTTTGCCTCTGTTTCCTCATCTATAAAATGAGCTAGAGAAGGAAATGACAAACTCCTTCATTATCTTTGCCAAGAAAACCCAAAATGGGGTCACAGAGTCAGGCATGACTGAACTGACTGAGCAACAGCAGCCCTTCTGCTAGGTATGGCAGGAAAACAAAACAGGAGATCAATTTCTGAGTAGAAACAGGCCCCAGAAATAAAAGTAATAGAATTATTCTGTCTGGCACCTGCCATCCTGAGAGTCCGAAATACTATATAAATAAACCTTAATTGGACTGAGAAGCAATATGACCTAGGAGATAGAGAGGTAACCTGGCAAGGCCCAAATGGAAATCCTGCCCCTGACCCATCCTGGGCGAGTAAGCCCTGTAGTGTGTCAGGGTCTACTTCTAAGATGATAAATTGCAGAGATTGTACTGGTCTGCACTGGGGATCGAGGATTAAATCACAATTCTAAACAAATCAGAATGAACCCACCCAATGCTCAATTCACTCCATATTCTAGGGAATGAAAAGCTTTCGAAATACGAAACCTAGGGAAAGAAATCAAAGCCATGGGGGATAGGATAAAGGACTGAGCCTTCCTTCCGCCTGTCTGCTCTAGCGCTCTCCCAAAGATAATTTGAGCAAGCCAAAGATGAGTTTCCATCCTGATACTTTTATCTCATTACAGAAAGCCATTGTATTGTATTGTATAACTTTGTATTGTATTGTATAACATTGTATTGTATAACTTCATCCATTGTAGTCCAGAGAACGATAGATAGCAGGAATCCGAGCAGAATGGCTCCTTGCCTGCCCTTGGAGCATTTCTCTCTAAAGTCTACTGAAAAAAAAAAAAGAATGGGTAAGATCATGATAGCGATAACATGATGACAATAGCGACCATGTTAGCAGAATTCTTTCCTGCTCACTCAAGGACACCTACTAATGGCTCTAGTCTCTGCTTGAGGGTTCAAGGAGCTTCAGAGGCTCCAGGCCAATTCCCCAGGGAGATCCTGCTTCTTTTTCCTGAGTTCTGGGTCAGTTCCAGCAGGAAAGGCCGATAAGAAGCAGGCTGGTGGGAACAGATGCTCATTGGCTTTGCTCTCCCCTTGGACGTTCTTTCATGGTTGTCTCTGATGAATTCCAGGTTAATTACTGATTTTACCTTTAGGATATTGCCAAAGCTGTCAAACACTCTTCCAAGAAGTTCATGAAGATTGACAAGCCTCCCGTGTGCCTGAAACTACTGGAGAATGGGAAGCGATACCGCCTGGTCAGTGAGCCAGAAGCCGAGATCACCCCAGAGGTTGGTGGCGCTTTTGTGTTCCAGAAAGCATCTGAAATGAGCAATCTGAATGGGTCACTTTGGGGTCTAGCATATGACTGGTCTTTCACGTGATAATCATTTAAGATCAATTGAGCCCCGATAAGGGCCAAAAACCTGAATTAATCTTTTCTGAGTGAACTAAAAATGCCCCTTCCTGTGTCAGCAACTGCAGGACCAGATGAAACTCACCAGCATTCTTCCTCTTTGTGATCACTAAGGACAGGATACCTGGGACCAGACACTCTCTTGAATAGTGGGACTTTTCTTATCTTGGTATCCTGTGGACCTATGTTATGTAGGGGAAACACAGATATCCTGGATCTATAATTTCAATTGCCACTTTGACATTCTCCTATTTTATTGTATTTACAATCTATTCAACTAAGAAACTTCCTTTCTCATGCTATATGTTAAAAACATATGGAGGCTATATTTTTTGGGGGGGGTGGTAACACAGACATCCTGAGTCAGGGTTTAAATGTCCTCCTAAAATCGCTTTAGTCAGTCAGCGTTAAAGCTCTGGCTCCATGGACATGTCACTAACGTAAGGGAATAAACAATATGGATTTACCTAGCTTGTTGTCTCTTTAACCAACTGTCAGGTCGACACAAGTAACCAGCTCTTAGAGTCAGAAAGACCTGAGTTTAAATCCAGCCGCAGACAATGATCCTGGCCAAGGGTCTGCCTCAGTTTTCTCAGCTGTAAAATGGGAATAACAATAGAAGCGGCCTCCTAGAATTATTCTGAGGATCAGATGAGATAACATTTGTATGGCAGGTTTTGTGATCGTTCAAGTGCCTTTGCAAATGGTAGCTTTTATTCTTTGTTGTCACTACTACACCTAATTGTCTCCAACTAACTTCAAAAATGTAGAAAATGAATTTTAGACTTAACTTGCTCTTTTTGGCTTAGGGTTTGTTGACCTTTGGTAAAAAAATCAGGTCCCTGGAAGCAACTCGGTGGTGCAGTAGATAGAGCTCTGCCCTTGGAGTCAGGAGGACCTGAGTTCAAATTTGGCCTCAGACACATGACACTTACTAGCTGTGTGACTCTGGGCAAGTCACTTAACCCCAACTACCTCACTAAAAAAAAGCAAAAAAAAAAATCAGGTCCCAGTTTTTATATTTCCTCTCCTGCTCTCTCCCCCCTCCCCCCCCCCATGTTGTTTAGTTAGGGTTTAAATTAATTAAATTTCTTTTAAAAATTACTTTGCTTCAAATGAATAAAAACCGTGGGACCATGGCCTATTGCATCCTTTGTCAGTATCAGGAGTGCTGGGTTTGTAGTCAAAGGGCTTGGGTTTCGATCTCTCCTCTGCCCCTTAGTATCTGTGGGACCTTCAATAAGTCATTTAACCTTTCTGAGCCTCAGTTGTCCCATCTATAAAATAAGGAAGTTGGACTTCTGGCTTTAAATCTGCAGCTCTGTGATAAAGGCAGGAGGGACCTTGACCAGAGGAAGAGAAGTAGTTTGAAGCTTCTAGTGATTGAAAAAGAATCACGTGGGAGCTGTTTCCTTAGTGGTTTGCCCCCCAGGCTGGCCTCAGATTTCCTTATTTCTACAAGTGGTTTTTTTTTTTTTTAAAGAGGTTTTTGTTCTATTTATTCCTATGCCAGTTTGGCCATTCCCTGCTCCATGTTGGTTTCCAGGGTTTTACTCCACAGAAAGTGCCACTTGGAATATTTTGGTCTATGACAATGGGACCTTTTGTTTCTTTGACCTTCTTAGAGCATGTGCTTAGGCCTGGGGATCTAGAACCCTGACTCTTAGGAAATTTGAGCTCCTCAGGAGGTCCAGAGGTCCATGAGGACCCTGGCTCAAGGCCACAGGGATTGTTAGTATGGCCTCTGTGATCTTGCTTTTAAAAAAAAATATAGAAATGTTTCGATAACAATGTTACCTGGGGGTGGAGGAATGGGGTGGGGATGTTAAGTTCCCTTCACTTGTTCAACACATAATAGATAATTGATTTCCTTTGCAGTCCTATGTATTTTATTTTATACATTTTAAAATATGACTCTGAGAAAAGATACTTAGGGTTTCCCAGGCTCTAGAGGGGGGTCCAGGACACAAAAATGGAGAAGAGCCCTTGTGGGAAGGTGACATGCTAAAAGGAATATGGACAGTTGAGTCAGTTTTCTCTTATAACAACAAATTGTTTTCCTGAATGATTGGAGCTGTCATGCTCGGCTTCACCCACAGGGTTAATGGGCCTTGCTTCCCACAGCCCTTCCGGCGCTGTCTCTTAGAATAAATTCCATCACCTTGGCTAAAGTGTGTTTGTGGCTTCAGGTTTACTGGCCTCTCTTACTGCTTCACTATGCCCTGGATGCTGGCGTTCTGCTGTGAATAACTTCTATTTTTTTTTAAAATTCTTTTCTCTCAAAGGAAATTGAATTTGTTGATGGTTCCCTTCTAAAGTTGAAAAGTTACATTGAAGTCTTTTTGGAGCAACCTCTGGAGTTTAAGTTGTCTTTGGTTGAACTGGATTCTGAGGAAATTGTATGGAAAGCCAAACTCCGAGAATGTGAGTGTTCCTCATGTTGGATAAGGTTTGTTTGCTTATTCTGAAGTGAATTAGTGCTTGAGTTAACCGGGGTTCAGGTTCTGCCCCTGACACATACTGGTTGTGTGACCCTGGGCAAGTCACTTCAGTTCTCAGACTTCTAGGCAGCTTCCTAAGGTTATTAGTTGTAGAAAAGGCATCAACCTGCATCGGTAGAGGGAATTTCCTAAAGTGGGAATTCCTTATTCCAGTGAAATGACAGGTTCTGTCCCTATCCCTGTCCCTCTTAACGACCTCTCCCCGTAATATTTAGAATTCTGATCATTAAATGTGGCAAGCAGAACTCAGTCCCAGAGGATAGGAATAGGAATTTGCGTTGAAGATGAGTAGATCTGTTAACAAGGGGTTTGGGCTGTTTGAGGAAGTCAGGAAGCTCTTGCTGGAGGTCAGGGGCAGGGCGGGGGAGTGGTGGGGGTGGAGGAGGAACAGTGAGCACTGGTGAGGATGAAGTGTAAACTGACCCTTGGTTATGTGCAGATGGCGTGTGATGATCTGCTGAGGTCCCTTATAACTCTGTAAATACTCTGATTTTGAGAAAACAGCCAATTCTCTTCTTTACTTCAAACCCATGTGTACAAAATCCTTTTATGGTACAAAGAACACTGAGTAATGAGTCAACAAACTCACTTCTTTTCTTGTCTTAGCAAATAACCTAGTTTTTAACTACTTAGTCTTCAAGTCTTAATTTGTATAGCAAATGATTGCAACAGTATAGAATCTCTTCTTGGTTATAAGCAGGAGGATCTGAATTTTGGCTTCTTTTATTTTCATTGACGGAGTTTGCCTAGGTACTTGATTAGCTGATCAATTGAACACTTGTGGATCTGCTTAAGTGAATTTTATAGTGAAGTTCCCCCCCACCCCCACCCCAAAGAGCTATCACTGCCAGCCCTTTGGTTGTTGATTCTCTGTGCCTAAAACCTCAGGCAGCTTGCAGCACAGGCTGATGCCCTGGTTTTACCAGGGACACACATATAACACAGGAGAATATAAACACAGACATTCAGGGGAAGATTTTCCAAGAGATGTTAGGGCTCTCAAAGCCACGCTGCTTTGCCCTGAAGAGGGTCATCAGGCACTGTTGTTTCCCCCATACCGAGGCAGTCAATTCCACAGTCACTTTACCGAGGTCAGGACCAGTCTAGGAGTTGTGGGTTTTCTTGCTTTATCTACTGTTTCCAGGCAGCCCCAGGGGGAGAGAGACTGTAGCCCCCATAGGAACTATTGATGACAGCTCCTGCCTTCTTGCTTAAGGAGCACTACCTAATTGTGTCTTCACAGTGAAAATATTATGGCTTTTGTTTTATTTTTTTTTTTCACTTACATGTGAACAAAAATTTTTAACATTCATTTTTTTAAAAAAATTTGAGCTCCAAATTCTCTCCCTTCTCCCAACTGCCTCCTTGAGAAGGCAAACAATTTGATATAGATTATATATGTGCATGTTTGGGGGCAGCTAGGTAGCATAGTGGATAGAGTGCTGGGCACTCATCAGGAACTCATCTTAATGAGTTCAAATCCTGCCTTAGATGCTTAACTGGACCTTGGGCAAGTCACTTAACCCTGTTTGTTCAATTACTTATTTATAAAATGAGCAGGAGAAGGAAATGGCAGACTATTCCAGAATCTTTTCCAAGAAAACCCCAAATGGGTCCTGAAGAGTCAGGCATGACTGAAACCATCAACAACATATATGTGCAGTCATGCAAAACATTGAAAATATTATGGCATTTTAAGTCCAGTTTCAGAGTGTCAGGCCCAGGTATATTGAAATGTTACTATAAATAGACATTCCAAAGTCCAATAGGATCAGAATTCAGAGACCACCTCAGAGTTCATATCTAGTCCAGCCCCCTACATTCTACAGATGAGGAGACTGAGTCCCAGGGAGGTGAAGATTTCAGACTTAGATCCTCTGACTCCAGAGTCAGAACTCATTCTACTGTCCCACACTGCCTGTGATTTGGGACTTATCTCTAGGTTAGTGATATTGGTCATGAGTGATTCTCTTTTATTATTACAAATAACTCACTTGACTAATTATATATGTTATATACCAGGTGTCCCAAAAGTGTTAGTGCTATTTTGTTTTTAAAATGGCACTAAGACTTTTGGGACAGCAGGTGCATGTGTATGTGTGTGTTTATCTATCTATCTATCTATCTATGTCTGTAGATAGACACATATATACACACATATGTACAGATATACATACATACAGGTGGGGGAACACTACATCTTCTCTTAAATCCTTCTGTAATTTGTTTCTCTCTGAATGTTGAGATGTTGACAACATACACATATACACACACAAACACATACGTGTCTCTGCACTTAAAAATGGTTCGACTTTATTGTAACTGTAGTGACACTCATCAGCCCTTCATTTTATAGCTGTTGTTTGTTAAGATCGATGAGAAACTGTATGTGTACATTTGGGGTGGGGCAAGGTTGTATGTAGATCCATGGTTTTGTTTCTTTCTGAGACCCAGATGAGGGTGCAGCCCAGAGCTCAGGGCCTGCCATCGATTTTCCTTCCGATCTTTGAATGGTTTAAATGAATGAAAACTCAATCCTCATTATGGCATTGTCCATGCTTTTCTGAAGCTATGGCCCAGTCTGAGACTTGTATCTTTACAATCCTCCTGTTTTTCTTAACAGACCTTGCAACATGCAGAGTTACTAGGCAGAGAAATGTATTGTTTTCCTTGTTGTTCCTGAATTTGCATAAGTAAATAAGTTGCTATTTATCATGCAGCGCCATGACTATGGAAATAATGTGCGTGGACCTGTATAACAATAGTAACAATAGTACAAAGAAGAATGATGAAATTTCATTCCTTATTCAGTAGATAATAGCTTTTAATTTTTGGGGAGGGGGATGGGGCTAGAAGGGACATGGATAAGAAAGTTTCTTAATGGTGAGATGTGAACAGTCTCCATCCTATTCTTATTGTCCAAAGTCAACTCATTCAGATTTTCCAAAACTGTTAAGGCATGTCTGTCAAATGCACCAGAAAAACGGGTTTAATTTGAAGCTTGAATTGAAATAGAATGGTCTGACCAGTTCCATGTGAAAGGCAAGAATAATTTTAGGATTACGGCTTTCCACGGATAAGAGAGTTGGAGTTCAGGGAAGCTTCAGGGGAGGAAGAATGTCATAGGATCTCTGTTCCAAAAGCTGCTGCCTATCTTAGTTCCAGATCCCGAACCCAGCTGCCATATGGTGTCCTTGCCCCTGCAGGAAGGGGCTGTAGCAGGGAAGCAGATTAAGTAGTGGGAATTGTGCCAGCGGCTAGCATGGGACTGCCTGCTGAGAGGCAATTGATAAGCTCCTAGAAAATGGGGACAGAATATTTCAAGTATGACATTCCATTTTGGAATCAAGCCAGTTCAAAGGTCAAACCCAGAACTACACAAAATATCAGATCCAGAGGCTGGGCTGGAAAGTGCGGTCTAAGTTTTGGGGGTAACAAGGCAGGTCCATAGGGAGCTAGAGGAGGAAAACAACACAGGGGGTGAGGTAGTTCACAATCACTCAGCTCCTTTCAGCAGACATTGATGAAGAGTCACAGTGATTACTTGCCCCTTCCTCCAGAGACTCAGGCCAAGGTCAGCCGTGTGTGCGATATACCCCGTGATGGAATCCAGTGGTGGGCTTCCTGGACATCCTGCCTACAAACCAACAGAAGCAAATCAAGCCCAGATTGTTATTCTTCTCTTGGTGGCATATGGTGACTTCCATTGCCCTGGCATCCCCTGCTTCCCCAGTTCCTCTCCAAAATACCATTTATTTCCCTTCCAAAGGTATTCATCTTTGCATGTTTTAACAGGTGACTGGGTCCAACATGATCAGAACCAGAACATTCAGAAAAACAGCACAAACCGTAAGTTGCTACAGTTGGCATTTATGGGGCATGGCATGCTAAAAAAAACACAAAACCCAAATCAACAGATTTCTGCCCCCTCCATAGTCTTTGATC